GAGCATTGTACTGGGAGTGCTCTCCTGAGCTCTGCATTTCACTTTTCAAGGGCTTAATTTGATGAGTGTCTGAAGGTATAATCATCTTACCCTATCAAGCTCTATTTTTGAAAGCCTGAGGTGTGAAGAGAGGAGCCTAGGGAAGGAAGGGTAGGAATTACCTGCAGGTCTGAGCACGGGAAGGCAAGAGCAGAGATCCTCTGGAGAGCTCTCAAGGCTGTGAGCAGTGGAGCCACCGCCGCCTGGTTCTGCCAGAGTTGTGTTTCTGGGCTGCATACAGCCCGGCATGGAGCTCGGGGGGTTTGCAGGGTCGAGCAGAAACTTTGCAGGGAGTTACTGCCTTGCCAGATACTGTTTTTATGAAACCCACAGAACGTTAACATTCTGTCAGATTTGGTTGTACTTGCCAAGTAGCTTCACAGTATTTTCAGTGGAGAACAGACTGGCTCACATGTGTACCTCAGCTTGAAATCTCTCACTGATGTCAGTGTGGTTAATTTGTATTCATACAGAGCCTGTGCCATTAAAGTTCACTGAAAACTCACTGTTACTCCCTCCTAAGTTTCTTACAGCAGGAAAAGAAACCAACTTTTTTTTTTTTTTTTCACTTCTAGGGATGTAATCCTCTTGCTGAGACTGGACGGAGCAAACTACAGAACCAGAGAGCTGTTCTAAACCAACAGATCTTAAGAGCAGTAAGAATGAGAGCTGGTGCTGAAAATCTCTTAAGGTACTTGCCATGGCTTCCTACTTCTCTTGCCCAAACCACAACTTTGAAATTTCCTTTTATTTTGTAGAAGTCTCTCTACTAAGTGTAGAGAATCAGACTTATTTCTATGTCCCTGAAAACGTAAACTGAATTTACACCTGTTGGACTATCAAAATGTGCTAGTTCCTTGGCAGAAGCAATTAGAGAAGTTACCTGACCACTAGATACTTCACGTGATGAGATGTATCTCCAGTCTCCTGAGGGAAAACATAAACAAGCTTTATGTTCTCAGATTATATTTGAATTTCATCAGATTCTAAAAGCTGTTTGATGGGAGAGTTGTTTTCTTAAGACCAGAAGTCTCCACAGATCTTTGTTCAATCTATAAAGTGGGAAAGTCTCTCTTTTGGAAAAATGTCTCCTGACTCCTCTCACCTCCACCCTCCTCTCTTCTAGCAAAACACCCACATAATCTGAGAGCAGGATAGTGATTCTGTTTCAGATGCTTTAGGTTTGAGGATTAATGTATCTGAAGATAAGCCTGAGCCTTGATCACACACAGAAAATTTAGCATACAGCAAACCTTCTGTGGCTGCTTGTCCTCTGGAAACTATCCCAGACTCTCTCCTGACAGAAGAACCTCATAAATCCTGAGACATGAAGTCTGTATCATCTTTTCAGGAGATAAAAAAATCCTAGAAATGCTGAGAATGCTGGCAAGGGTGTCAACCAAGCCTGTGTGTCTCTTCCTGCAGAGCAACCACCAACAACAAAGTACGGGAGCAGGTCCTGCTGGAGCTGAGCTTTGTGAACTCAGACCTGCAGATCTTGAAGGAGGAACTGGAAGGACTTAACATCTCAGTAGAAGTTTATCAAAATGCAGAGTAAGTATAAAGCGAAGTCACTCAATTATTAACAGATCTTCTGTTTACCCTTGGAAACACAATTGTTTCTAGGTGAGCTGGACAATAATCATGTGAGAGAGCAGAGCTTGATAGGAAAAGAACATATTTGGTGGTAGATTTGTTGACTAAGGGTTAGTCTGCATATTTGTCTTTCACTTGGGAAAGGTGTGTACCACTAATCCTTGGGTACAGAGTTCTCTGCAGAGAGGAGCAGTGGGAGAATGGGAAGCCCCTGGGGCTGTAGGGGAGATATGTGACCCCTAGCAGAATTCCCAGGACTGGGAAGGCTTAACAGGCTCAGTGCCTCCTCTTCGGCTGGAGGGCAGAAGTCCAGCACTGGGTGTTTGGAGCAGATGAGGTACTCTGCAACATGTGCCCTTCAGTGACCAAAATCCATGCATTAGCTGACTGAAGCAGAGGAATTTTTAGTAGATGAAGTTGGATTTTTTCCAAGATTTTTCCAGCTTTAAAGAGCACACTAATTTTGAAATTGCAACGGATTCCTCAAAGATAAAGCCTCAAAGTCAGCGATGCCTGCACACTGCAGTGATTTCTGCATTGGTTAGATGTCTCGTTGCTCCTAGAACTAAGTACTTGCTATTTGATTACCAGTAGCAGCTCGAGGTACAAATTGAAATGCTTCATGTGTGGGAGGTACAACCTGGGGTCCCTCTTAGCACTGATCTCAGTTAGGTGTTAACCTCCACGTGGATTGCAAGGAATCCTTAATGCAGTGGGGTATACAGGTTTGCAGGGGGGTGACTTTCAGCTGAATGCCAAATGATGCAATATGTCTGTTTCATTTTTCTCAGAAGAAACTTGTGCTAAAGTCTCTGCCCTCCACCACTGCAGCCAACCTGGACAATTGTGTGATGTGAAAGTGTTATCTGTTCAGGATTCTGCTGGTCTTCCCAGACACCTGTGAGCACAGAGAGCAGTGTGGCAGTTCTGGCTGTAGAAATGAGAGCAGGACTCCACCAGTACTTCCTTCTAGCTAAAGAATGTTAAAAATACTTGGAGTCTCAGTGAAGGGTGAGCAGTAGGTCAGGCCCCAAGGCAGCAGATGCTTGTTATTCTCTCTGGTCCTACCTCCCCAGTCTGTTTCGAATGGTGTTTTACCTTTCTGATGCTGTTCATCCTGGGCTCCAAGTGATTCTTGTGTTTTATCAGCTGAAGTAATTCCCTCCCCTGTAGCTGTACTCCTCCTGTAACAGCAAATAACTATTAATAGTTCCTGTGTGTGTGTAGTGATGGACAGGAGGTGCCACCCGTGGGTTCCTGCCTCACCCTGGGTCGTGTTACCCCAGGCTGAAGGGCTGGTACCTCCCAGCACACACATCCCAGCTGGGCTGAGAAGGGTGTTTCTGCTCAGTCCTGGAAATCCAGTGGAAATCCACTCCCTAACTGTTCAGTGCTCCCATGACGTTGGCTCTGTGGGTGTGACACCTTAGCCATGAAAAGAATAGAAGTTCAATTCCACTGAGTGACGAATGTTGGTGTCTACAGGGACTGTGGGTGGGACCAGAACTCGTGAAATCACTAGGTTAGGATTTCTTTTGCTTGTGTCTCACTTCCTTTTGGGGAAGGAGGCTTGATAGAATCTGTAGTGAAAGTGTTGAGGTTTCTTCGCAAAGCCTGGTCAGAAATGAGAGCATTTGCACTACCTGCAGTGGTGTTTTGGCTCTGTACCCTGAAGTCCTTTTCAAGCTAGCAGAGCTACTTGCTGGAGCATGAAGGATTCTTCCTCTCCTGAGGAAGCAGCATTCCTGGTCCCACCTTCCCAAGATGGAATTTTCACCAGTAAGAAAGTGATTTTCTGGCTTTGCTGATAAGACAGTAAAGGAGTCACACCTGTGGGATTTTGTAGTTGGTAATGGAATGCTCTACACAATGATTAGACAGTCAAACAGTTGTGTTCAGGAGAAATGAAAATACTAAAGAAACCTTCCAATTGCTTGATACCGATCCATTGAACCTACTCAACAAACAATGTGTCTGGAAGCAATTCTGCTGTTTTTTGAGTCACAGTTCTCAGCCTTATTATCCTTTGTTTCAGAGGGTGACTTGTCTTGAGGTTAACACCTAGCATTGTCTAGAAACCAAGTAGTTCTCAGACCTCCTACTCCCCAGACCCTTCACTATAAAAGTTGGTACACTTTGGCCCTGTTTTTCCTGTGTTAGACACACATCACTTCTACACATGAAACCAGCTGGTTAGAACTGCTGATAATTGCCATAGCCCTTACTGTGGCAGGTCTAGGAGCTGTGGAGCTGTTTTCTGTCCAGGTAACTGGTGCAGGGTTGAGCTAAGTTGCAGTAAACCATCCTTTAGAGTCTCCTTCTCTTTCCTTGAAGGAAGAATAGGCTTACATGGGAAAAACAAGCACAGCAAGTCACTTTCTTCACTGTCTTCCTAAGAAGCCATGGGCCATTAGGCAGATTTTCTTGGTAGGAAGGAACTGCTCACCCAACTGTTCTGTACAAGCTTCCTATCAGCAAATAAAACACAAGTAACTATAACAAATGCACAAAAACAAATGTTTCTGAATATTTTTGTCTTTTCTTTTTCCCACAGAGAGACTTTCAGTATTCCCTTGGTACCTCTTGGTCTGAAGGAAACCAAGGAAGTAGACTTTACACTCCCCCTCAAGGTAAATTTCACTCACACATTTCAGAGTGAATAGTTAACAGAAATAACTTTACATTTCAGATTTGTTTAAAGAAACCGAAGTAATTTATGTACAAATTGTTTTGTTTGTCCTAAAACTGAGATCGCAACATGTTAAAAATTAACTGCCGATTATTTGGATCATTGCTTCTATCTAACTGGGACAAGGAGTCAGAAAATGTTGTAACAAATTCGGCTTTGGAGACAGGCGAGTTAAACCAAAGGGAACAAAAATTCCTTCCATGACTTTTGGCTCTGAGTATTGATTAGGCCTCTAGTGCAGGGGAAGCAGTGATGAAGGTTTTACTCCCATAGTGCAGTGATCCCCAGTTTGCACTCAGCAGGGAAGCAGTTTTGCAGCATTAACGCTCTTGTTTCTTGGCTCCTGTGCTTTGCTGGCTGTTGGAGCCATCCTCTGTGTTTTACAATGCAGATCTTATCTCCTGGTGAACCATCTCAGCCTTTGTCTCTGTACTTCTGTGGGTTAAGCTCCCTGGGCAGATTCTGGTCCCACTTTATGCCTTGCAGCTTTGTCGTTTGAAGTGGCATTGCCTTAACAGAGCTGGGCAAGAATTTGGCAGCTTCTTTCTGTTAACCAGTTTCTATGGTCACTGCTTGCCTTGCTGTTGTAGATAACAGGGCTCCTTTGTCCCTTGCAAAACCACGAAGTGGTGGTGTTTGAAAACCCACTGGAGCTGAGGTAGGTGGTGTTTGGTTCCTTTACATCAGAGTGAAACTTTTTTGGTCTCATATCAAACCAGATTATTAGCTCTATTGTCCCTTTGTAGTCTCATTGCTGGAAGTTCCTGTTCTGTTGATTGGAAGTACACAGCATTCAAATCACAACTGCATCAATTTATACTGTTTGCAATTGCAGAAAAAATAGGTTATTTGTAGATATTCCAATTTCTTGCTTTTTTTCTTTTAGGATTTTATTCTGGAACATTATAGTGAAGACAGTTCTGAGTATGAAGATGAAATAGCAGATCTCATGGATCTGAGACAAGTGAGTTCAGATCTGGCACAGTATGAGGCCTTTTAACCTGCAGCTGTGAACAGTACTTGTATGGATCAATATTGCCACTATTACCAATAGCTTACCATATTCATATTGACTTTATCTCTGAGACATGGAACACAAATCTGTCATCCAAAAGCTTTACAGTCTGAGTCAAGAACAAGTGCAGAACAAGACAAAATTTTGCAAAGTGATTTAGCTA